TCCACCACGGCAGTGGACACCTGGGGAGCTGGGTAGATGGAGAACTCCAGCTTGGACTTCTTGCCGTAGTCCACGGACAGACGCTCCATCAGCAGGGAGGTGAAACCAGAGCCGGTGCCGCCACCGAAGCTGTGGAACACCAGGAAGCCCTGAAGACCAGTGCACTGGTCAGCCTGAGGACAGAGAGGGAGAGATGGCAAACAAGTATGAGATCCAGGAATGTCACTTCACGTGTGATTTGGAAAATGTGTTGGAGAAGAACTGCTCTGATTTTACCCACCAGTTTGCGGATCCTGTCCAGAACCAGATCGATGATCTCTTTGCCGATGGTGTAGTGTCCACGGGCGTAATTGTTGGCAGCATCTTCTTTGCCAGTGATCAGCTGCTCAGGATGGAACAGCTGGCGGTAGGTCCCAGTGCGCACCTCATCTAAGGACAGGAAATAAATATTCACTGAATTAGTTTTGGTTTACAGACACTCAGGATGTCTCACTTTAATTTGCCTCAATGAATGTTCAGCCAGAAGTGAAGACGCCTACCGATGACAGTGGGCTCCAGGTCCACAAACACAGCTCTGGGGACGTGTTTTCCAGCTCCAGTCTCACTGAAGAAGGTGTTGAAGGAATCATCTCCTCCTCCAATGGTCTTGTCACTGGGCATCTGTCCGTCCGGCTGGATCCCATGTTCCAGGCAGTAAAGCTCCCAGCAGGCATTGCCAATCTGGACACCAGCCTGACCAACGTGGATGGAGATACACTCACGCTGTGGACAGAAAAAGCAGAGAGATTTACATTTAACTGTATGCATTCATTTTTATTAACAGGAAAAAGGAAACTAAGTTGATGCTAAAATGTGTTTAAAAAAAAGAGTCTTGTAACAAAGCCTCACTCTTACCGACCCAATCAGTTTGATTAGTAACAACCAATCAGTGGCAGCGTGGCTAACGGTCCACTAGTGAAACATTTTTCAGGTACACTGCATTAGTATGCTACAAGTCCATCGCTAAGGCAATGGATGAAGTATTCACAGTTGAAATTCTGATTAAAGTTCAGTCTCATCACAGGAAACATGAGCTAACTTTGGCGCACTGGTGCACCCTGAACTGCTTTCAGAATACTAAGTGGAACCGGTGGGGCTCTGTTGCTATGAAGAGGATGCTGTGATGCACTCTAATCTCTTGGGGTTGACCTCCATTTGTTCTCACTACAGCAAATGACAAAGCAAAACCACAATGTAATAAGCAGCCTGCTCACTCAGGAGAGTGATACTAATGGATTGAGCTTGTGGAGGAACAATGGGCGTGGAGCTCACAGCAGGGACCAGACCATTACTATTACTGACATCACCGTAATGACAGAAGGGCATCTGGTTTACCCCTCCCATATGAAATCTGCTGACCAGACGCCCCAGACATGGCATCAGCATTAAGTGTGCTCACAAGATATCTGGAAAACACCCCATAAAAGTGCCAAAAAATGTGCCTAAATGGCAATAAAACATCTACACAAAAAGACGACAACTTTGTAATTCACTGCTGCCTCTAGATTATCCACCAGTATGAACAAATACTGCTAATATATGCGGTACAAACCCCAGCTGCAGTGAGTCAGTGTACCGGGCAGCCTGCAGAGGCACCTGTCAGTCACAGCGCAGGGCACATGAGCGCGGATTAGCGGCGCGGTTAGCGGGAGTTCATCAGCGTCAAAGCCGGGGAGGGGCAGGGAGGAGGGGGGGATCGGCCACAGCAAGTCCGAGTCGACCCGCATCCCCACCGCACACATCCACAGGCGGCTTTGACAGATTTATGGCCGCTCTCTGGAGCTCTACGACAGGCTGCCGGTGGACCGTCCAACTCAACAGTGTCCATTACTGGCATGAATTTTTAATGAGCTGCGCCTCCCTGACATCATATTTCATCCATTTGTGTCCGACGGATACGGTTTCTTTCTCCGGCAAACTAACGCCGCTGCCCGCAGCATCCATCCTCCGCAGCGCCCCGGCCGGTCTGACCGCTACAGCCCGTCAGGAGCAGCGCGCACCGGGGCTTGAGTCACACAAAACACCGGCAGGTTGGACCGGAGCCGACCTTATTCATCCCGTCCAGCATCAAAACCCTCTTTTGTTCTGTCTGCCCACCACGTACCCACCCCGAACCTCACCAGAACCTCTCTCTGAAACAAAAAAAACACCCACTTATAGCCGCCATTGTACACCAAAAACACATCATTTTAGCTGAGCTGTTTTTAAATTATAAACTTTTTAGCTTCCATCCCTGCGATTTGATAAAGATAAATCCACCTCCCTTCTTCTTTTCTCCCATTTAGCTTCTCCCATGAACTCAGATGTGGTCCTTAGAGGAAGTTTTCGTTAAAGTTCTTACCATTTTTGTTCGGTTTTAGTCTCGCTGGATGGAGGGTGGCAGCAGCAGCTCCTCGTCTTACAATTCGACTGTTATGGGGTCGATGTAAGAGATAATGGCGCACACGAGGATGGACCGCGCTATTTATGCTGCTGGAGCCCCGGCGCCGGTCGCTGCAGCGCCGCCATTGGTCGAGCCCCTGTCCGTCTGACGTCTCGCAGCCATGCGCGGCTTCTCATTGGACGAGACCTTGTCTTGGATGTAAAGCCCGCCCCCTAGACCCCACCCGACATCCTCCCGTTATTGTTGCCGGAGTATGGCGCCTCTGATTGTCAGGAAAATGCTGCGTAATTTGGAGCCAGACGGGCCTGGGCTGATATCATGCACTTCCACATTTTAAATTTAATTATATAAACTGATGTAATAGATTTTAGTAGGATATAACAAAGTTTAATATAATAGTAGAATCCATTTGTGGAAGTTCTGGACTGATTTTTCTTTCATTCTAGCAGGCCTCAGCTAGTCTTTCCTCAATTTTTTGCCCTTGTTTACTAACCAGCCTCCATGCTGCAGAGGAATACACATCATCCACTGCTCTACTCTGGCTAAATTGCACCAAAAATCATTGCACATACTTTTTTTTTTACACTGCTCCTTCTTTTTCTTTTTTTGTATTTTGTCATAAGCTCCACATTTCTTATGAGCAGGTTTACTCTGCACCATAAATGTAATTTTTTTCCTGTATAAACCTTTCTGTTCCTGTATTTTCCTATTTGTTACCTCACTATGTACGAGTAGATGCGAGCGATGAATATAAACTTGTGTTTATTCTAATTTTTCTACTGATATTTCTTAAATATTTGTACAATCACCTTCGCTGCTGTAACAACAGTAATTTCCCTTCCTAATAGAGGCTTATCATATCGTATCATATGACAATAAACCTTTGAATCCTCACATCCAGAGAAATACCTCTGCACTTAATGTAAAATGTGGATAGAAACCTGCTTCTGTGCAAGAAAAGCTTCATTTTTACAGGTGCATTAACTTGTAATCCGTCCTTTACATCCTCCTGTGGTGCCTGATCTACATCCACACCGTTTGTCTTCATGTTATTTGCAGTTTTATTGTTTTTACGAGACGCCTGTGGATTTTTTCGAGCAGACTATAGGATTTATGTCCAGCCTTTGTCTATCCGCCTTCTTTGGATAAAAGAGGTCAAACTGCCCCGTCATACATGAGGGCCATGTAGGCCACACAGCTCCTCGGACGCCCAACCCCCAGCCCACCTCCCAAGATTTAACGGTTGCTAGGAAATGAATAAAGGAGTTGCCTGGATACAGCCTGGTATCCACACACAGACCGCCTTTATCTGGCGGTCACGTGACCCCGGCTTAAATAGCAGCATTAACAGGCCGCACTGCAGCTGCCCCTGTTAGGGGGGAAAAGAGCCGCCTCTTTCCCAAAACCTCTCACGTCTTGTGTGTCTGGAGTCCACTTGCTCTCACCTACGAGTGCTCTGCTCCTGTAGCGCTGCTGACAGAGGCATGAGGATGACGGGGTGTGGTCCATATGATGCAACGGGATGCAGCAGCGCTTCACACAGAACAAGCCTGTGCTGCAGCTCTGCGGGTGTAAACATTTGACTTTCAATAAAAAGGACCATAAAGTGCTCCTCAGTGTCCCGCAGACAGACAGTTAAGCTCCATCCTGAGTTGCTAACAACACAGAAAACTATGACAACAGCTGTAGAATGTAGGGCTGCTTTCACAGACCCCCATTTTTCCTAAAGACTTGAAAAAAGCTTTTTTTTTCACAGCTAATCCTGCCGCATTTTGTTAAATCACATCGAACACTATTAAATTCAGCAGTGTGTGCCGTCTTTTCTATGAGTGACTTTACTGTGTTTGTTCCCCCAGTATGACGTCTGATGCCATTTATTGAGGCTGTCAGGGAGATTTTTAGCCATTTGGATCCGTTTTATTAGAACCTCTACACCTGCTGCAACTTTGGCAGGTTGTGCTTCTGTCCTGTTTCATTTCTTCAAATTCGATGCAAATGTTCACCTGAACGCCTAAATAAACTGTGAAACAGACTTTATCTAAGTAGTGCCGGTGATACAGGATGTTTTGCACAGAGCGGGTGATTGAATGTTTCTCCCAGTTGAGGTCATTTAATGCTTTTTCCAAACACTGTGTATTCCAGCTTGTCTGTTAGATCCCTTTTTGATGCCTGATGGTTTTTTTTTTTTTCGCTGAGGATGTCTGAGGATGGAGGTCTGGTTGTTAGTTTTTTGCAGTTTTTCTTTGCTACGACAGTTTATGTTTGGGTTAATACAGGAATTCTTATTTTTGTTCTCATGGCCAGACCTCCAGACTCCCATAACTCCATTTAGAATTTAAACAATATAATCATTTAGTTTTATAAGGTTCTGGGCTGTGTGTGTGCTGCTGGTTGCTGTGTTGACTCAATGTTTTCCTCTGTGAGGCTGGAACAGTCTCAAAGGGCAGAAAAAAGGAAGTGATGACATATTTCATCCAAATGTTCTGCAGAAACACTCGTCTGGCCGTTTGTCAACACCATAACTCAAGAACAGACGGAGAAATGGATTTAAAATGAAAATGACTGGTTGGTTTGCGATGGCGGTTACCACAGTCGCCTCGCAGCTAGAAGGTCGCCGGTTCGCGTCCTGGTGAGGACACCCGGGATCTTTCTGTCTCCATGTTCTCCTCGTGCAGCGTGGGTTCTCTCCGGGTTCTCCGGCTTCCTCCCATATTCTAGAAACATGTTGAGGTTAATTGGTGATTGTGAATTGTCCGTAGGTGTGAATGTGAGTGTGAGTGAGGATTAAGTGGTGTATAGATAATGGATGGATGGATGGTTTGAAACAGTCAGTTTAAAATCTCTCTTAAAACACAGTTCCATATTGCATTTGCACTGACCTATAGAAATGTATTTTTGTCCTCTGATGAGTATCTGTGCAGCTGTTTGTCTTTATCATGTCTCTGTTCAATCCCCAATCATCCTGACTGATATATTAACTTTTCCTGCAAACATTTTCTCATTATTTTTTGTGCTCATTTCGCCATTTATACTTCAGAGATAAAATATCTGATCACTTTTCACATTTACAACTATTGATTGATTATAGCAGGTCAGTTTTCTTGTTAATTTTAACATATGTGTGGTTTAGTTTCTGTATATAATTAAAGAAAATCATATTGTACAATGAAGAAAAGTTGGAATTTAGAAGTGTTTTTGGGTTAGGGTTATTGTTTTATAGCTTTTAAAATTGCGCATGTATATTTCTGGTTGGGTTTGTAAACCTGCATGTATGAATATAAATATCTGAGTACATGTGTATTTTTATGATGTAAAATAATGATAAATGTTTGTTTTTTCTTCCTGCATTATTGTAAATTCTTCTGATACATTAACTGTGAGCATAAATGTTAAATAAACTCAACTTGCAGTTATTTTTAGATAATAAATACAACCTAAATATGGACTCATGTCACTTATGTGGCACAAATTCTGGGTTATTTTCAAAAACATTTAAAGCAGCATTCACAGTTCATCCATTATCCTTTGTTTTATAGTTGCATCGTGTCATTATCTCTTATTATTTTAATCTTTTAAATCCTGTTTTCCCGCTAGGTGCTGCTCAACCTTTCAACAAGCAAGCTCAATATGTTTCCCTAATTTATTCTGTTTTTTTTAAGACAAACAGAAAACCTCCCCCGGCCCTCTTCTATTGTCTCATGGCCTGTTTTATGTGAACATATTTGTATTGAAGCGCTCGATACAGGATCTCTGCTGTGACAGATGGAAAATGTGCTCCGTCACTTTGTTGGGTATCATGTTCTCTCCTTGCAGGATGCAGTGCGGCCAGTTTCACGCCATCGAGGACCACTCCCATCTCTCCAGCATTCCCATCCTCCCTCAGCTGCTCAGACCCTCCCAGCCTCACAGCTGCTGGGGAGGAGGAGGAGGAGGAGGAGGAGAAAGAGGAGGGAGGCTGGAGAATGTTCTGTGAAGAAGGCCTGGCTGGATGCCACGGCTGCTTCCTGCCCTCCTCTTTCATCCCCTGCAGCTCATGTGGAGTACAGCGACCGCGAAGCTGTAAATCATACATCCTCACCTCGCTGCTGAGGAAACGACGAGAGTCAGCTCATCATCCTGCATCGAGGCTTCTTCAGAAAACCCCGATTGCATCACAGCCACCGTGGCTCTAGGATTGTACCCAGCTTAAAGGGCACGGCTTCAAAAGTTGACGCTGCAGATTCTGTCGATTCCTCGTTATCCCACACGCAAAACTGCAATTCAGGCATTTCCAGTTCCTCAAACAGGCCAGAACCAGAAGCAGCTCTGCCCCACCTCGGTGCAGCTGAAGACAGGCAGACATGCAGCCACGTGATCGGCCCACTGAATGACATCATTGCAGAGAATCTAGGACAAAGAGGGAGGAGAGCTGGCATGCCGGCTGGCCGGGCGGGCGGACACCATGGCAGGCCTCTGCAACACGGACGCCCGGCTGATGCGAGGCGCTCTGATGGATGTGCAGCAGATGAATCCAGCCACTTTGCATAATTCATAAAGCAAAAAAAATCCATACAGATTGTTATGTGTGATCACACTTTTATTAAAAGGTAGCAAGCTTTAATTGATTTGCAGCCTGCCACACATAAATAATAGATGCTCAGAGGTCTGTATGCATAATAAAGCAGCTTTGTTTGAATGAGCCCTTTATTCACTGACCCTCCAAACTGTTAGTTCTCACATAATTCCATTTGAAAGTCTGCATTACAAATTGGCAATATAATAAAAACCCCAACCAACAACAGAATATTCCCAAACCCACTAAAATAAAAACTCCCTCCATCCTTTAATCCACACCTCATTGAAATGCACATTGAAAAAACTGTTTTTTGTGCATTTTTCTGCACATATTTAAATGCAAACCCCCTGAATTGGCTGCACTGCCAAACAGTGGTAGTAAAAGGGTTTTTTTCCACAGTGCACAGGAGCGGATCGGCTGCATGTATAAATCTGGAAGCGCCGCCCTCCCATTCAGCAGTTGTTGCATCGACCCCGTTGGGTACAACACGCGACGCGAACACTCGGTTTTTAAAAAAGCCTCTTTTTTTCTCCTTCTCCTCTTCCTCCTTTAACCTCAAACGAAAACATGGTAAGTGCGTGTTTTTTTTCTACTCTCTTTGAACGTTTATATTGAGGAAGAATTTAATAATAAATCAGTGATGTCGCGAATTGTTTCATCTCCACAAACAAAAACCTCGGTTTTTACGCACAGGCGCGTTTTTGGAGTCTACACATGATTCCAGCTCCTCGTGTTGTGATATATTAGTGATACTGATGGAGGTGAGCAGTTTAAAGCTGCAGCTGATGCACAGATTGGTGCAGCAGTGTCACGGTGTGATTGTCATTGTGTGCCGATGAGAACAATGCACTGACTGACTGCATTTAGAACCGGCCTCACACGCAATAAATCTCTTTTTTAATGTAAAGTAAAAGCATTATTTAAGCTTGTATTTTTTTATTTTTGTCAAATTTAATTTGTGATTTATGCTGAAATCTGTCACCTTCCATATGCCCTACCCTGTGTGGAGGCAGGGAGGGGCAGATTGGGTGGGGATGGAGGGGACAGGAGATTGCAGCTATCATTTTTAATTTATAGGATACAGAGGCACAGAAAAAAATACCTTTCCTCCATGATTTAGTGACAGAAATGGCTTCCTAGACATGAAATATGGAGTCAATTTCAACAAACACATCATGGCTCAATTAATTTCTGCCTTTCATGTGATTTAATTTGAGTTAAAAGCAGATTTATACCGTGTTAAATGACACAGATGTGATTGCACAGATAGATTTTACACATTTTTTTGCCTCTAGGCATCTGCTGTGATTTGCATCCTGTGTGGAATATTCCAGGTTAAATGCACGCGCCTGTGCACAAGCAAATGAATTTGCATGTGTGCTTACGTTTGCACAAGAGAAGGGGGGGCGGGGAGTGGAATGAAAAGACAAGAGGACAAAAAAGACTTGAGGAAAGACGAGCGCGTCCGGCCTCTGCGGGGGCTGCTGTCAGGCTTTTCTGTCCCCCTGTGGATTTTGGTGCAGGGAGGCACCTCCTGCTGTACCGCCGGTTCATCTCAGACAGGGGAAGCAAATGAATTTTGAATTTTTGAAACACGTTTGTTGGGATGTGTTTCTGTAAAAGCAGCAGCAGCAGAATGTAAAACTAAAGCTCAGTTAACACCGGTAGATAACCTCTCTGCTTTTTTCTGTCCACAGCGTGAGTGTATCTCCATCCACGTTGGTCAGGCTGGTGTCCAGATTGGCAATGCCTGCTGGGAGCTCTACTGCCTGGAACATGGGATCCAGCCGGACGGACAGATGCCCAGTGACAAGACTCTTGGAGGAGGAGATGATTCCTTCAACACCTTCTTCAGTGAGACTGGAGCTGGAAAACACGTCCCCAGAGCTGTGTTTGTGGACCTGGAGCCCACTGTCATCGGTAGGTGTCTTCACTT